GGGTTTTATTCGTCTTTTCGTTGTCAACGCATAGAAAAAAAAATCATCTCAATCAGAATTAAAACGAAAAAATTATAATATTTTTAAAAATAGAAAAAATACTGTTTATTAATTTGAGTTCAAGTTTCTAAACTCGAGTTGAAGAGAAAACTTGAACTCGAGTTTTAGTCCCAAACTCGAGTTTAAACTCGAATTCAAACTTAAAATAACATGAACTTAAATAAACTGAAATTACATTTTTTTTTAGTTTTTATGGCTACCGAACAGCCCGAAGGTTTCTCACAATGTATTGAAAAAGACCCTTGTGGAAAAGACTAATATTAGCCACTCTTTTTTAACACAGACTCAAATCGCAGCCGTTCATTTGCAATTTGTGTGATAATCAGACAACATACTGTCGTTTTAGATCACATTCTCACAACTAGGGCTGTTCATGGGTTGGGTTGGTGCGGGGTAGGATTTTTTTTCCCCGCCCCAAAGGGTGCGGGTTGCACATATTTGGCCCCAACGATGCTAGAAAAATTTCACAACCCAACGATGTTCGGGTTGGGTTGGGGCGGTGCGGGGTGGGTTGGGTGGTCGGTTTCAACATTTAAAAAATCAAAGACTTAAAGTTCAATGTAATATTCAAATTTCATCATTAAATAGAAATAGTTACCATCTTTATCAGTCCATCTAACGCCAAACATGAAGCAAAATAGTCCATCCAACATCAAATACAAAGCAAACATAAATTAGTCTACACTTATAAATTAATCTTAACATAAAACAAATAGCTTAAGCAAAGCAAACATAGAGGCTTAAATCTTAATTCAAATCCATCCAAAGCAAGCATTGCAACATCAACCATCTTTATCGATCCACACTCATAGGCTCCTCAATGGTTGTAGTAGGACATGAAGTTGAGTTATCTACAAGAGAAATGAAAATAGCTTAAGTAATAATTTGGATAGTTTAGAGTTCATATAATAAAATAGATTAAGATACATACAAATTATTGTCTTACCTAGAGATGTCTTACCTAATATCAGCGAGCCTAGGGTAGAACTTGGGCAGGTTGCGCTTAGGCCGAAAGCTTGGGGGTATGTTGTGCGGGTTGGGTTGGGGATTGCGGGTTGTTATGGGCCCAACCCGCAATCTGCCCCAAACACTTCGGGCCAGAAGTATAATGGGCCAAAAATTTTAAAATAATGCTACGGGTTGCTTTTTTCGACTTAGATTGGGGCGGGGTAGGTTGAGTTTGCGGGTTTATAAACAGCCCTACTCACAACTACCACTAAATGTGAATATAACTATAAAGATAGCGAAGTATCGAAACCAAAACTATAAGAATTTGGAGAGAACTTTTATGGTTGAGAATTAATTGTATCGATTTTGCATACAGTTAAATTACATTAAAATTATATTGACATTAAATAGTATGTAAATCTCACCGATTCTCAAAAAAAAATTTAAAAAAATCACCGATTCTCATAAAAATTTTGATGATCCAAAATTATTTCACTCCCATATATAATTTTTTGGTTAATCTCTTACCGAATTCTATAACTTTAGAAAAGAAAACATTAAAAAATTCTGTTGCAACATGAAAAAAAAAAAAAAAACCTTGATGAATACTTGTAGTTTTAATCTATCATATTTTAATTGTGTTGATACCCACTTTTGTACCAAGCTCATTAAGGGTCCAGACCTAATCTTTTGCGTCCTATGATGTAATTAGGCTCGTTTCGTGAACTTAAGCGATACTCAGAGAACTCTTGTGGGTCGTGGTTTGGTAGGCCATGAGTGAGTAAGTAAGTTTATTCATCCTTAATTCAATCCAATTTGGAACCCACTTAGGGGGTTTCTCATAATTAATTGAATTAAGCATGAATGGCTGATGGAGAATTCTACCTAAAAAGCCTTCCTTTCGCCCTTTGAAAACCCAAAAACCTTTGTTCCGGCCCATAAAGTCAAGTCTCATGCCTTGGAAAATTTCTCCAACTCAAAGGCTTGAGAAATCCATTAGTTTCGACTCATTTAGAGGCTTTTCTCGCGACCAGATGTGCCTAACGGAGCGCGTTCCATGTCAGGCATGCTTTCCTAGCACTTCTCCGTATCAGGTTGTCCATTCAGAGCACTTGCGCGCATTCAGAGTAACCTGGTGTCAGAGCACTCTGGCATCTGAGCAAGTACAAATGACTGCTTGGTTATTCTCGTACAAACAATCTCCAACGAAGGTATGACACATGATCAAACCTCTAAAGAGGAAAGTCTTAACACGTTTGGAGATTTCAGGCCTGAAGTCATTTCGTGTCAGCTCAAAACCTGGAACTTGGCCTCTAAGTATTTCCATTTCTAAGGTGTCATTTTGTCTCCTCTGACAAGGTAGTTGAGATTTTACTCCAAACGGAATGGCGTGTGCAATGCTCCGTCAGAGCGCCGCCAATTTCCTCTGAAACAAGCTTCCAAAAGTCCTTCATCTCATTTTTTATGAGTCGCTTTGTCAAATTCAAAAAGCTAGCTAACATACTCCCTCCAAATAGAAATGCTCCGACAATGCGCCGTCAATTTCATCCATGATAAAATCTCCAGAACCTCCCCTTCCATTTCTAGTGAGTCTCTTGGTCAATTCTAGAAAGTCATATGATCTCTTTCCTCCAAACAGAATTGCTTGTGCAATACTCTATTAGAGCACCGTCGATTTTCTTCTAGCATGAATTCCCAGAAGTCTCTATTCCATTTTCGACAAATCTCCTTTTCAACCTCCGAAAGGCCTCTGACAACCTTGCTCTACCGGGATGGCGTGTGCAGGCCTCCATCAGTACGGAGCAAGTTGTCAAGCACTTCCATTTTTCCCTATAAATACCCTTTCTCCCTCTTCATTCTAGGACATTAACACACCACTTCAGTTCAAAAGTTCTCTCTCTTTCACCACGAAATTCTCTCACTTTGAGTGTTAATTTTCTCTCTCTTCCTTTTGTGTGTCTTCTTCATGTCTTTTGCTACAAAGACTTGAAGCTTCTTTAAATTCTTGGGGGATGCCCACTTTCTAAGTATTGTTAGCCTTAGAAACTCTCCAAGAACTTTCTTTGATCCTCTTAAGCCATCATTTGAGAGTCTTTTTAAGTTTCTCTACACTTTTTCATAAATATTCAAGCCTTCAATCCTGTAGTCACACTTACTCACTGTCAGAGTAAGTGCTCCAAATGACGTCCTCATCTTCATTACATCCCCTCGCCAGAGCCTTATCCACCTCACCAGCCATACTTTCACTCTCCATCAGCGCCTTATCCACCAACAAAGCTTCATACTTAAAGCCTTCAAAGCATTTTGAAAATTGCCTCTCGAGCACTTCTCCATAAAAGCCTTATCCACCTCTCAAGTCACTCCTCCATCAACTATTTGATCACTCCTCCCACCATTTTTCACCTGTGAAGTTCCATATTTATATATTTTGTGAGTTCTCTAACTTGTTTTGTAGGTGCATTTCATACGTTCGACAACAAAGAGGACCTTAGAACACGTTTTCTTCGACCTAATTTGGGCCTAATCGACCCCACCTCTCCGTCGGAGGTCCTACTGTCATTATCAACCTTGAAGTCTCGTTAAGTACTTTGGGCACGTTGGAACTGCTACCAACGAGTCAAATACTTACATGTGTGCATCCCCGACATGTCATACTCTCTGAATCTAACGAACTCTGACATTATGTTACAACATTTAAAAACGCACAATATCATCAATAATCTATTAAAAAAAATGTTGGGCTCACTTCCCTCTTCACAAACTACCGGTTAAGGCACTATGCACGTGTAGGGAATAATTTTGTAAGTTTGATCCCGCTTAATTTTGTAAGTTTGATCCCGCTTAGAAGACGAAAAATTAAACTCTAAGAAAACATTCACAAAATTGAAAAAAGAAAAACAAAAAATTACAAAAAAAGATAAAAAAGTGAATAGAAAAACAGAAAAGAAAAAAGAAAGAAAATGAGAATTCACACAATTGAAAAAAGGAAAACAAAAAATTTAAAAAATTTAAAAAAAAAGATAAAAAAGTGAATAGGATAACAGAAAAGAAAAAAGAAAGAAAATGAGAGGGACTACATCTATGGGAGAAAGAGCGCTTAGCTCTTTTAATAGTTAATAGATTAAAATTTAAAGAATAAAGAAAAATATAGCAACAAAGAAAAGATAGCAACAAAATTTAACTTGATTCAGAAATGTGTGGACGCTGTAAATTCTTATAGAAAATTTATTAATTATGAGCACTAGGGTTCAGAAACGAGCTACATGTAAATACAAACTACAATGGTATTTTTTCGATTCTTAAAGAAAATCAATTTGTAAGTTACTTAAACTATAATCTCTAGAGATTTCTTAATATAAAATAAATATAAAAAGTTAAAATAACATAACCGGATAACTTTTTTTTCCTCAAATTAATCGGGTAAATTACTAAACTATCAAATTTAAAAATTTCTTAATATGAAATAAATAGTAATAAACTCAAAATGACATAATCTGATAAACAACATAAAATATATGGAGATTTCTTAAGATGAAATAAATATAAATAAAATTAGAATACTAATAAAGATAATTAAATTTAAAATATTAAAATTTTATTTTTTTTACAACTCAAACCACGACTTAAATTTTATTATTATAATATTTTTTCTAATAAAAATTTACATTTAATATTTTTACTACCCAAGTTCTTAATTTTTTTTTGTGACACACAGTATTGAATTTCTGCCGCATATAAGTTTCCAGAAAAGAGTGAAAAAGGGAGGAAAAAAAAAAAAAAACGAATTTTCAACCTTAGCAAAAAAATAAATAAAAATAAATAATTTTCAAGGAATTGGAGCTTACCATCACGGCCGACTTACGTCGACTCAAAGAAATCCAAACCATTCAATGAATCCGTACGAGAGGCCTCTTTTGAAGAGTTGCTCGATCTTTATCCTAGCAACTGTATATAAAGAGTACTGAAAGTGCGCCTCTTCCCATTTTCCCCTTCATTTTCTTTTCTTTCTTTTCAATGCTTCATCGTCTTCCACTGCATTTGTTAGCAACTATATATGCATATATACATACACATATATACATAGTACATATTGCATATACTGTACCTTTGATTATGTTTCTCACCAAAAACTTTCAACCAAAGCTTGAGAGCCACTTTGGAATGTTTTGCCTCTGAGACTTACTGACCTGATTGGGTGAGTTGTTAATCCGATGCTTTTACTTTTTCTGCGTGATTCTTCTGCAAATTATTGTACTGGGTAATCAAAATTTTGTTGACTTATTCCCTACTTTTTGTTGGGCTATTCTTGTTTTTTCTTCTTTCTCATCAGGTTTTAATGGATTTATGAGAGTTTTTTCATGCGAGATTAGATGTTGCTTATTGCTTTCAAAATCAGGCTTTTCGATTTATCTTCTTGTTTTTATAATTTGCTTAAATAGTGGAGAAAGTGAAAGACTTGATTTTCTTATCTATCTTATGCAGTTTTGTTTGTTGTTCTGGTGGTAGGTTTGCTTCTTATTTAATTGGAAAACTTGGGATTTGACCATTTTTTTAATATATGAATATACAATAATGAGAAAAAGGAGATTAAATTGAAGGGTGTTTTGGTGATTCAAAGTGCAACTGAAAGCTAATTATGGTGAGTCACCTTCCTGTTATATGAGTTTAAACTCCTTTAGTATTTGGTGAGATTTTGCCAAGTGATATGAATTTATATGTTGTTCTTTTACTGCTTTCTTGATAGCTGTTTGATGCTAATTATGGGATTGAGCCACGAGGGTTTCTTTGTAACAATTGAAAACTTTTTTGGGCAGCTGGTTTCTGTTATAAATAAAAACCTTAGAAGAGATGGCTATTTATGAGCATGAATCCGATTGTGTTCGGTGGGGTCTTGGTCTATTTAACATTGATGATGATCCGGTCCTAAATTATGGATATTACGGTGATAATATGAATAGACAATAATAAGAAAAAGGAGATTAAATTGAAGGGTGTTTTGGTGATTCAAAGTGCAACTGAAAGCTAATTATGGTGAATCAACTTCCTGTTATATGAGTTTAAACTCCTTTAGTATTTGGTGAGATTTTGCCAAGTGATATGAATTTATATGTTGTTCTTTTACTGCTTTCTTGATAGCTGTTTAATGCTAATTATGAGATTGAGCCACGAGGGTTTCTTTGTAACAATTGAAAACTTTTTTGGGCAGCTGGTTTCTGTTATAAATAAAAACCGTAGAAGAGATGCCTATTTATGAGCATGAATCCGATTTTGTTCGGTGGGGTCTTGGTCTATTTAACATTGATGATGATCCGGTCCTAAATTATGGATATTACGGTGATGACATCTACCGCAGACAGTCTTATGGGGCTCATTATGATATAGAGCATAACAATGTTGAGAATGATGAGATCATTGCGCATACTCTTCAAGAAGAATTTTCGCGTCTTGATGTCGCGGAATCCTCTGGATACTCGCATGGAGGAGGGGAGCAGTTACAAGCGCCCACTCTCGTGCACGCTTGGCAGAGTCCACAGAGGAATTATCCTTCCGGTAAAGTTGCAATTCAAGTTTTTTCATACAATTTGTCCTAACCGGTTCATCGATGATAGTAATCCTGAGTTTGTGATGGTATATCTTATCATTGTGCAGGGGATTATGGGCATGGAGAAAGTGCGGTGCCTTCTAGTTCATGTTCTAGCCCCGGTGATCAAGATGAGTATTTGCACTCTCTTGAGTTAACTGATGAATATGAACAAGATGATGGAGTCTACTGGAAATTTGATCAGATGGTCCCGTGTCCTGTAAGTTTACCTTATATGAAGTTCACTATATTTTATAAAGCCCGGTTTGTTATGACCATTTAGAATACGTTCTGAGGTTCATTCATACAGATTCTTCGACACTTGTCACCATTTTTAGCACCATTCAAATGATTCATTATGTTTCTGTTCTGAACATCTACTAAGGAATTATCATTGTTAACCTATTTTCTAACTCAAAACTGGATTCCCATGAAATTTTTCTTTCCCAATTTTACTGTCCAAAAAGTCATGTTGGATTAGTAATTTCATGAGTTGAGTTGTCAACACATCAAGTCACTAGCCATGTTTGTATTTTATCTTCTTTTGTGGACTTTGTGTTAAAATTTGTATTTCTTTTCTGCAGCATATTCCTAGGATTAATGGGGAAATTCCTTCAATTGATGAAGCGACTTCAGACCATCAACGACTGCTCGACAGGTAGAATCTACTTTGTCCTTTTCCGGGGTAAAGTTTTAAGCATCATCAATGATAAATTGTAAAATGATATTGCGTATTGGATGGAAGTAGCGTTTATTGTTTTATTCCAATAAATAAATTGATAGTCTATAAGCATAGCCATTAGTTTTATGCTTAGTTTGAGTTGTGAAACAATTCCTTTCCTTTTCAATAGATTGGAATCGCTTGGCTTTATTGAACACAAGGTTCAAGGGGATGGAAACTGTCAGGTTAGCTCTTTTAGCCTTTGTCTTTTTCTTTTGCTAACTGAATCCTTCTTTGGCTTCTTTCTTTCTGTTTCAGTTTTATCCCTTTGGCATTGACCATAGCACTTGCCAACTCATAAAACATATATTTTCCTTCAGTTTCGTGCTCTCGCGGATCAATTGTATGACACGCCTGAGAATCACAAGAATGTGCGACGTCAAATCGTGAATCAGGTTCAATGAGTCCTACAAAAAAAGCTGTTAATTTGTTGAAATAACTTTCAATGGATTTCCATGGGTTCTCATTTTCCCCGTCTTTTATGGTTTATTGTGCCCAGCTCAAGTCTCATCCAGAGATCTATGAGGGTTATGTTCCTATGGGATATGATGACTATTTGGAGAAGATGTCCAGGTATTAACCCACCTTTCATTTTCCATTTTTTTAAAACGATTTTGAGGTCTAGATTGCCATTTTAGTACTTAGTTATTTATCAATCTCTGTTATACATACCAGGAGCGGCGAATGGGGTGATCATGTCACATTGCAAGCAGCTGCTGATGTGGTACAAAATCTTTTTCCTCTAATGAATCTTTTGGTTTGTTTCCGCTTAAATCCTTATTGTTAAGGATCTAAATTTACGACTAATACCCGTGATTATATTGTTGCAGTATGGTGTTAAAATTATTGTCATGACTTCCTTCAAAGACACCTCTTGTATAGAGATTCTTCCCAAATTCCAGAAGCCAAAACAAGGTAACATTTTAGACCTCTTAGTTGATGTTGTGAGTTTAAACATTTTTGTTCAATTTTTTTCAACTGTTGGGCAGAGGGCAGTTCATGAACTTAATCTGCAATTTTATTTGCCTTTTCAGATATTCATTTCTTTTATCCTTGGCAAATTTTTCAGTCACCTAATTTTATTAGCTACTACTCAAGTTGTCTCTCATATTTTGTTTTTCTTAACTTTCTGTCTAATCCATGGGGAACATTTAGCATAAACTGTGTGCAACAAAGCTAATTAGCATTAGATACTCTAATTTTTTAAGTAATAATCTCGTAAGATCAATATCTACATGTCATAACATTTTCCACATGTATTTACTATCTTGGATATTACTCGGTTGCCAAATGTTTTATGATTAAATCTCTATTTTCTATGTTATTTCAAGTATTATTTACTGACATTCAATAACTTTGTGCAGTAATTTGTTTGAGCTTTTGGGCAGAGGTGCATTACAACTCAATTTATCCTCAGGTTCAAGGAGGAGGTAATGGTTCCTCTCTTTTTTTTTCTTTTTTTTTTTCCTCCTATGCTTCTATATTTTATGACTGGTAAAACTTCAAGTTTTGAAAAATATATGATGCCAAAGTTATTACTCTCAAGAATGGCTTCTTTTGATCTTTCATTTCAGATACATCATCAGGCGAGTGTAGAAAGAGGAGAAAATGGTGGATTTTTGGCAATAAGCATTAGAAATTCTGGCCTGCATTGAATGAGTTTCAAGTCTGCATTATCCCTTTGTAAAAACTTATTAGCATTCTTTTTTTCCCCATATTTCCCCCTTCTTGAATTTTCTTTGTATTATCTTCAAAATGGCATGCTAATGTTGGATATACACATATATATTTTTATTAAAGTAATTACAAAATGATGTTCCATTTACACACTTTTGGGAAATAAAAAGAAACAAACTCATCACTTCCCCCCTTTTTTTTTTTTTTTTTTTTTTTTTTTTTTTTTTTTGATAATTGGACTTTCATTAACCAAACAAAGATACAAGAGCAATAGATCAATTTCCCTTTTCTCTTGAGCTTCACTTTTGCTGTTTTCTTCACTAGATAGTAGATATTTGATTCTAAAAGGTGGAAGTGAATCAGAATTTGATAATGAGATTCATGCAAGCACAAAGTCTTCCACCGTATATTCTTCTCAGAAAGTACCTATAGATACGTATTTTGATAATTAAAAAGTACATATTATGTTAATTAAAACATACCAAGGTAGGATCTTTGGAGATAAATGTGTTAGAAAAAAGATGAACAAAAAGGTTAACTTTTGCGCACATAACATGCTGGATTGGATTAGCTTTTAAGAGTACCTTAATTTGAACAAAATCCAGCTTACTCTTTTTCTTAATTATTATTCTTTTTTAGGATTTCTTTTTTCTCACTAAATTGATAAAAGGCAGAATTTTTCAGATCTTCCAAATGCGAACCATGGGTATGAATCATTGGTTAAGCCACATCAACAATGGCGGGTCCAATTGATTTTTCTTTCTCAAAAATGTTAGCTGAGCAGAACAATAAAGCTCATAGTCATTACCATTTCTAATTTCATTTTCTCAAGTAATTTTTACATTCTAAATTAATCATTCACATAAAAAAAAAGGGAAAAAAAAAAGAAAAATAACACTCATAAAACAAAAGCTTGTTAAGTAGCTGTCCACCTCAGTCAAAGTTACTATGTAAGTCAGTCAAAATTATTATTTATATCAGAATCTTACTGTGCAAATAGTAACCGTAAATAGTGCCAAAAATTTTCCTATAAATAGAGCTCTAGGGCTCTTTATTTTATACACCTTCACAAGATTAATGAAATTCTCTCTCTCTATAGTTTCTCTCTTTAAAATTTTCTTCTTAGTTTTCATAACACGTAAACAACACAAACATTCTATTCCTACTGCGATTGACTATATTCATTAATTTAAAGAAAGGAGGCTCTGATCCAATTACAAATATCTACCTTAAAGTTAAAAAAAAAAGTAAGTCCTAGCCCTAGTCCTACTACAAGTTTCTACCCTTATTAATTCAAGTGAAATGTATGTAAATGTACTCTATTACTTTATATTCATACAAAGTAAGGCTATGCTACCAGTGTATTATAATTTTTATAATTGTATCGTTATACACCATTTGAAAGGTTTACCGAGTAGTTTGACGTGTTTGTATTCTCAAAAATGGACGGTTATGCCGCCTGCAGGTTGTAATTTTTCATTGTACTTTCTGCGTGCATATTACTATGCTCATCTTCTATATCATTTGAGGTATACAATTTTAATTTTTATTCCACTTCTAGCAGTAATATAAATTATTTTTACACCACTATTAACGGCTATAAACGGCTAATTTTTACTCTATAAAATGTGGATTTCTTAACCCATACAATTCACTTCTCATCTTATCTTCACCTTTAATATTTTTATCTTTCACTTCTCATCTTCTCTTCACTATTCTTAATATAATCTTCACGATATGACGAATATGATGATAATGTTTGTTATTTTAGTAGTCATTTTCTATATTTTTGCTCTTTTTATTGGAGATCATTCTCCACACGATTTTCAGTTTTTCCTTACAACACTCATACTTAGAATATTTCTCCTTTTATTTATTGCTATTATGATTAAAATGTAATTTTAATTGTACTTTCTATTGTAATAATAATACTGTGATTCTTATTATATCGAGGTTCTGTTAGCGTTTATGCCCTTAGGAATAAATATAACAATGTTCTTTGAGACATTTTGACTATTAATAAAGATTTATATATTTTATATATCCATGTATTGTCATCTTTATGTTCATATTAGTTGAATGTATGATAAGCAAACTGAAAGTCTGAGACTGACATTCTAAATCTTTAGGTCATGCATGTAATGAGAAGAACATGCAGAAGACAGGAATCTAAAGATGATAGTCTAAATCATATGATCCATAATCGAGAGAATAAAGTTGGGCGCTTTATTCATATTAAGATTGTTATGTTGTCTACTTCCTAACGGAGACGGCTTGTCTTAGTCGTCGAAGGTAGGACTCTATGGGTAGAGACATTGATATAGTTTCTAGTGGTGAAATATATATTGGGTCGGACTAAAGTTGAATTATTTTAATTAATCATTTTGTTTGTATAAAACAATTCACTATTGACGAATTATATGCATCTTAATCTTGAGATGGATGACGAACCTGTATGCTTGACTTGTATCCTTTGGTGTACCAAAGGGAGACATCCTAACATTATGTAAATGTACGCTTACCGGTACATTAGGCGTATGACTTGTGTATACATAGATTCGTTATTCATAGATAGTGGAATCCATAACTCCTATAAAGAGTCAATGATATCCTCCTATGCATTATCTATGGATTGAAAAATACGAGCACTCGACCATTAGACTACTTTGTGTTATCTAATGGTTTACTATTTGTAATGGTATAAATAATGGTTTTCTAATGGAGTGATAATGGAACATAAGATAAATATAACCGATAAGGTAAAATGGAACATGACTTTAAATCGATTATGGATATCCTACAGGGATGATACACTAATAAATTGAGTCATGGATGAAAGCTATTCAGAGCTTTGTAAATATGCTATATAAATCGAGAGTACAGCTCTAAGCTTTTAGTGGAGTAGCGCGAGAGTTTTATAATCATGAGACGGACTTGTTGGTTTACAAGTAGCGTTGTGATTATAGGAGCTTGATTTATATATGTCCATCGGGTCTCTTTGCTAGCTCATATAATTTCCTATAACGATACGACGTATTTCCTACATATTGGTAACTTGTGTTATTTCCGTAAAAGAGGTTCAAAATTAATGTTATCGGTTAATTAATTCATGAGTAATTTATCAGGTGAATTAATTGATGAATTAATTCTAGATAAATTGGTTGAATTAATGTTTCGGGTTGTTTAATTCATGAGTAATTTATCGGGTGGATTAATTGTTAAATTAATTCTAGATAAATTGATTGAATTATTATTTTGAGAGTTATTTAATATGGGAAGACTATTATATGACTATTTTGATCAGACAACTTTCTTATTGGGTTGCTTGAATTAAAACTGAGGCTCTGTGCAAGTTTTCCTTGTTGAAAAACTAGCAAAACAATTTTCTCATGTTTAGACAGGTCGACTGGACAGGTCGATCGGGTCATGCAGGACATGTCGACCGGTGTGTTATAACTTCTCTGTCATCGGTTGTAATGCGTAGCGCATGCTAACGTGGCGAAACTGACTCTGTAAGTGAGATAAACTTTGAGAAACCTAATTGTTATGGATATATGACTTCCTAAACACTATAAATAGTCCAGTAAGTCACATTATTCATTAGATCACTTGAGAGACTTTTTGGGGCTATAGGCAACAAATTCCTGAGAGAAAAAATTATTTAATTCTCAAGAACGATTTTTCCTTTGGCTCTCTTGTGTGGTTGGAAGGAGTTTAAGAATACTAAGAGGAGATTGAACGATGTGTGTCCACCCGCACTCCGATCGTGGAAATGAGAATAGCAAAGAATACCAGTTGGTTGAGGCTTTTCCGGTTGCTATTTGGAACGCTTTGATTTGTCAGTCCTAAATCTCTAAAGGTATGATTTGGATATTTAGTATTTATGTTATAGAGCATTATGAACATGTTCTTGGTTGGTTTTCGCATTAATTTAATTTTTTTTAAAATTTCACTGCGCACTCGATGCCATTTTTTCCAACAGTTTATGTTATAATTATCACCATATCGAATCTTACCAAACTTGAGTTTGTTGCACTCGACATCACATGACAGAATTATATGTCTTGGACCATAGATGTAGAAATGCATATAGAGTCAATGGGTCTAACCAATACCATTAAAGAAAATAATAACAAGTCACCACAAGAAAAGGTGAAAGCAATGATTTTCTTTCGTAAACATCTTAATGAAGGCTTGAAATGCGAAATGCGAATATCTCACAGTTAAAGATCCACTTATCCTTTGAAAATGTTCGAAGGAGAGATAAGACCACCAAAAAGAAGTCATACTTTTCGCCACTCACGATAAGTAGAACAATTTAAGTTTCCGGGATTTTAAGAAAGTCAATGACTACAACTCTACCATGTTTAGAATTATTTCGCAACTGAAATTTTGTAGAGTAAATATCACAGATGGTGAACTGCTAGAGAAAACCTACTCCACTTTTCATGCATCTCACATTACCTTGCAACAACAATACCGTTTGCACGGTTATAAGAAATTTTCTGAGCTAATATAAGCCCTTCTTGTGGCAGAGAAAAATAATAAATTGTTGATTAAAAATCATCAGTTTCGTCCTACTGGTTCAACGGCATTTCCATAAGCAAATGTTCCATTTTCTAAAAAATTTTAGGATGAGAAAATATAATCGTGGTCGTGGCCGCAGTCAAGAACACGGTAGATAGTGGTTATTAAAACCCTTCAAGGAATGATATGATCCAAAAGAAACATCATGATAAACAAGAAAATGTTAATGAAAGTTCTTCTCGGAATCCTGAAGGTTCTTGTTATAAATGCGATACTAAAAAATAACTGGCATTGAATTTGTCGAGCTCCATAATAGCTTTGTAAAATTTGTAAGGCATCTCTAAACGGGAAAGAAAAGGAAGTCAATTTTAATGAACACCACGACCCTATCAATTACTTAATTCATCTTGACATCACAAACTTAGTGATGATCTTGTTGAAAGTATTATTGATAATATTTAGATATATATATATATATATATATACATAAATGCACTCGACCGTATTGATATTGTACTTGATTTTCACGAATGTTGTGTTATGACCTTTTGAATAATTTCATGAAATGTTATAATATTGCTATTTCTTTGTGTGAAAACATGATATATAAGAAATTGATGAATAGTACCTGATTATAGTACTATACATATGAACAATACGTACGTGTGAATAGTACCTATGAATAGTACCGTACTTATGAATAGTATTATAGCATATGTTTTCATTTCTTTTTAAATCCAGTTGTATACTTATTTGTGATATTATAATCATAAATTAATTTTTCTGTGGATTAATCTTGGATTCTCAAATTTTATTAATGTTGAGAATATTTATATACGAGATAGTGGTACAACGCACATTATTCTTAAATATAAGGTCATATAGGCCTGATTGAAAGTAACATGAAATATATGTATCTTACTACTAAGAAGTGCACAATACAAAACTACAAATGTTTTCTTCAGAATTTCATTACGCATATATAAATTTGATTGAATCACGTATGATAATTAAAAAAAAAATCCCCAGACGTTAATTTTATGACACGATCATTTCGATCATCCCGGTTCAATAATCATGTGAAGAATAATTGAAAATCCACATGGACATTCATTGAAAGGCTATAAAATCTTTCAAATTAATAAAATTTTATGTGAAGCTTGTTCTTTGGGTAAATTGATCATAAGTCTTTCACAAGCTAAAATTGAGACAGAATCACCTACATTTTTTAAACATATTTAAAGTGAAAATATTCAAGGTGCTATAACTGACTCATACATCCACCGTGCAGACCATTTAGATACTTTATGGTATTGATATATGCATATAGTATAAGGTATCCCATATTGGTCTATTATCAACTCGCAATTGGCATTTGCGAGATTTCTTGCTCAGTTAATTAGATTACAAGCACAATTTTTGATTATATACAATCAAGAAAGTTAGACTTAATAATGTTGGTGAATTTACATCTCAAGCCTTTAGTAATTGTTATCTCCATTGAAATTATTATTAAACAATATGTTGCTCTCACAAAATGGTTCGGTTAAATCATTGATTAAGAGCCTTCAATAAATTGCTAGATCATTAATAATGTTTTACAAAGTTTCCTATCATGCAATTTTACATACTATTGTATTAATTCACATCAAACCAGATGTTTATAATAAGTACTCCACATTACAATTGACATTTGGTCAAAAACAAAATATGTTACATCTAATGGCTTTTAGTTGCGCAGTAAATGTTCTAATTGCTCAACCACAGCCCACTAAGATGGATACTCAAAGAAAACTAGAAATTTATGTTAGGTTTTGAAATCCTTTGCTTAATTAAATTTCTTGAATCCCTAACGGATTGTATTTTTACAGCAATGATTGTTGATTTAAATATAAAACAGTATTCCTAGCACAAGGAGGAGAAACAAAAGGGCTAGAAAAACAAAATGAAATTTTGTGAAATGCATCTTTGTTTACCGCACTAATCAATGTAAGTTAGAAATACTTCAACGAATCAATTACTAGATGCATTTACTGATATAAAGAAAGTGATTAAATCACATACACACATATCAGCTGCTAATGTTCCAGCTCATGTTGATGTGGGAAAAATTAGAAAAATATAGCAGTGAATGAGTCTAAGGCACGCTTGCAGCGTGGTAGACTAATTGGTTCCAAAAAAGATAAAAATCCACGGAAGAGAAAAAAAAAAGTTACACAAATTAGCACTCTTGAAGAGATTGACGCTCCTAAAGAGGTCATATTGTGAGAACCAATAACTGACGTAAAGACCTTTGAAGTGGTCCATGTATCTGAAATATTGAAAATGTTGAGATCTCAATAAATTATGCCAGTACGTGTAAAGAATGGAACCATGATAAGATTGTTATCGACAATGTATTTACATTTGAAATAACGCTCGATATAATGAAAGAAAGCAAGGATCTTGAACCAAATTCCGTCGAAAAGTATCAACATAGAAATAATTGGCCAAAATAGAAAGACGCTATACAGGCTAAATGAAATTTTCTTAATAAGCGTAAAGTGTTTGGATCTATTATCATCACGCCTGAAGTTGTGAAACTTGTGAGATATAAATAGATTTTTATGAAGAGACATATCATCTTATGGAGCATGCAATTATCTTACTATGTGATTAGCCTGATTGTATTTGAAGGACTTGATACGTGTCTAATAAATGTGGTAATCACATATTTATAAGGATCACTAGAAAGTGACATTTATATAAAATACATGAAGGATTTAAGATGCCTGGAGCATTTAATTTAATATCTTGGGAAATGTATTCAACTAAACTACAAAGACTTTTGTATGGATTAAAGCAATCCAGACGTATAAGACATAATCATCTTAGCGTATATCTCTCAAAGGAAGGTTTCCTATACAATGCTATTTGTCCATGATTTTTCATGAGACGATCAAAATCTGGATTTGCTAGCTATCATTGTTGTATATAATATTAATAACTTAGGAGACGTTTGGTTCATGGATTTAGAACAATAATTCAGAACTATTCTCGTTTTACGTGTATTTTTTATGAGAGAAAATACTATAGCGAACAACGAACCATGATTCGAATCATGATACGAATCCCCCTTCCAAACGTCCCCTTAAACATTATTGTGACTCTTAAAGTTTTCAAAAAAATTGTTGCATATATAAAGAAAGAGTTCAATATGAAGGATCTCGAAGAATAAAGTTTTGCTTTGCCTCGATCTGCAGATCGAACATTTGCCTTATGGAATATTTCATCTATTAAACAATTAATACAGAAAAGATCTTAGACCATTTTATATGAAAAAATGTGCATTATTGAGTTTCTCGATGATGGTGCAACCACTTGATGAGGAAAATGATCCATTTCGTCATTGAGATGGAAATGAATAAGTCATTGGTGCCGAAGTACAATATTTGAGTGAAATTGGAGCTCTTATATATCTTGTTAATTGTACTCATCTAGATATAGCTTTTTTAACTAATCTATTAACACTATTTAGCTAATCTTCTATACGGAGACATTAGAACGGAAGTAAACATGTATTATGTTACCTTCAAAGAACAGTTGATTTGGGATTGCCTTATCCTAAAAGATCAAAATAAGAGATGATAGGCTATGCAGATGCAGTTTACTTGTTAGATTCACATAAAACCCAATCTCAAACTGGATATATGTTCACATGTGGAGAAATTACTATCTATTGGCACTCACAAAAGCCGACACTCGTTACCACTTCTTCAAATCATGCAGAAGTTATTGCACTCCATGAAGCAAATCGAGAATGTGTATAGTTGAAGTCCACGACTCAACACTTCTAAGTAACTTATGAGATACCGATCAATAAAAATCCAACAGTATTGTTCGAAGACAATGCTGCATACATCGCTCAAATAAAAGAATGATACATTAAGAGTGACAGATCAAAACACAAACCTTCGAAGTTTTTCTCATTCTCCCAAGAGCTTAAAAAGAATAAAGATATTAACATCTAACATATTCGATCAAGTGACAATATAGTATATCTTTTCGCAAAAACACTTCCCACTACAACATTCAGAAAGCACATTTACATTATCAGGATGCGTCATCTACGAGATTTATAAAGAATAACTATACATGTTAACTTTAAGAGGAGTTTACGTGGCTATACTCTTTTTCTCTTATTGTGATTTTATCTCACTGAGTTTTTTTGATAAAGTTTTTAACGAACCAACATATAAACACGTATAGATAAATAATACTCTTTTTTCTTTTGCTATAATTTCTATTTCACTGAATTTTTTTAATAAAATTTTTAATGAGACATCATAAATTATGGACATACGAGAGAGTGTTATAAATACTAACTATCAATCTCAACTAAAATTACTATACAAATTAATCAAAATTACTATTTATATCAAAATTTTACTGTGCAAATAATAACAACAAATAAGAACTCTAAGAAACACATTTACAAAATTAATAAAATTCTCTCCCTCTAAAATTTTCCTCTTAATTTTACATTTTCTTAATTTTCACAACAAAACTAACAATAAAACATACCAAATCTAATCTAAACTCTAAACTAAACATTCATTTTCATTTTCCTGTGTTAATTTATTAAACCTACGGATTTCTTCTTCTCCTTCTTTTAATGTTCTCTGAGAGCTTCCTCCTGCTGCCTCTGCTCCGCCTCCGTTGTCGAGGACTGCAACAGCAACGTCGTGAACGACATGTTCCGGTGGTACTCCAGCGTCACCGGCTGGCAAAGATCAAGCCGACAGTTCGGCGGCGGCGGCTGAGCTGGAGCCGCTGTCATAGCCGCGAACAAACCCTGGCCACCGGCCACGGCGGAGACCGGCTGAGCGCGGCAGGAGATCGACGGCGAAGACGAGGCGGTGACGGCTGCGGAGGACGTGGAGACCGGACCTGCGGGGAGAGTGCCGGACCCGGTGGCGGCGACGATGGAAGCCTCGGCGTGGCGGAGAAGCCACTCGATCGTCTCGCCGTCGGAGCGGTGGCCGAGCTCGCGCGTGAGCTGGAAGATCCGGGCGGCGCACATCGCCGGCATCCTCACGCGCCGCCCCCGGCCGTTGACCTTCGTGTGGCGGTCCCTTGCTGACGACGATACCTTCCGAGGGTCGGCGACAGCGAGCTGCTCCTGTTGCTGCTGCTGCGTCGTCCTCGCCTCGGTAATGGCGACGGCGTGGGACGGCACCACGGCGTCGGAGGAGTTTCCGTCGGAGGAGGAGGCAGAGGCGGAGAACTTGTGGTGGAGAGCGATCTCGGAGGCCATATGCTTAGTTAGGGTTTCGACAGACGAATAAGCCGGTCTGGTCTGTGATCGGAGGTTTCGATTTGTTAGGGTTTTTAGTCCGAGAGAGAGGAGAGAGAGAGAGAGAGGAGTGGCCGTTGTGGATTTTAGTGACCCCACAAAAGCTGAGGCCATTTTATAAACGGAGAGAGCAATGGGGCCTGACTCTTTATACGTGGGTCCACCTGCGCAGTTTGTCCGAAGTGGGTCCCCCTGCGTATTTTGTCCGAAGTGGGTCTCAGCTGGGCGGACTGTGGGTCTATTTACATTCTGAACGAATATCTTGCTGTTACGTGGGCCCACTCTCCGGGCACCCTTGGAAAAAACAGATTGTGTGACGTACTGCTCATGGTTAGAATTGTAAATTTGTAATAGTTTTTGATTTGTGATCTTTTTTCTAATCTATTAAATTTTTAAATTTGGTTTCTAAACAGATTAATGTTTGGTTATAAAATTAATGATGAATCACGTTGATCTTATTTTCTGATCAAATCATATTTTTTTGAAGAATGATCAATTAGTTTCCATGTATAAATTAACGATGGGTCACATATTCATTAAATGATATCACAAAATTTTACAAAGATAGTCTTGCATGATACAAATATTCTCTTCAATACTTTTACAATCTTTAAAATTTAGAAAATTTTCGATTTAATTATTTTTTGCCCAAATTCCATGCTTTTATTTGATGAACATGGGATTTTTTTTCTTAAGCTAATGTACCAAACCCATTATGTTAAGTAAGAATTAAATTTAGCTGTCGCTTTTTTCTTATAAATGTTTTTCTTTTCCTGAAAAAGAAAAGGAGTGAATTGCGTTGCCCGTGGAATGTGCTCAAGAAAGTAATGGAGCGTGATCTCAAGCGCTTGATTTGGAGCGTGGATATTGATTTCGTAAACTTGTCGGTCTCCTCTCACGAGCTGACACTTTGACCGCTGTTAGAAAACAGTAAGTAAAATGCCACATAGACCCCCTTCTTATGGGCTCGTTATATGTAACGCTGCCTAAAATTATACAGGAAAATAGTATGAAATAGCCCAATATATATGAAAAATTTAAAAAAATATATAAGTTAATTTTTAGTTATAGAAATTAATATGTTATAATTTATCAAGTTATAATTTATAATCAGATAAGTTATGAATAAATTTATCAAGTTGTAGTTCATAATCAGACAAGTTATGGATAAAAATGGGGAATAACTTGTCAAGTTATGGTTTATAACCAGACAAGTTATGGACGAAAACAGTAATTTAACATATTTATTAACTTATGTAAACTATTAACCTATTAATTTTAATTCATCTCAAGTCTTAGCTTATTTTCCTCTTTCTCCCGATTATATATAAGATGGGCTGAATTGGGCTAACCAAAAAATGATCCAGCTCATTTAGAGGTAAGCCCATAACAGATAGAGGCCCGAGGAGAAAAGAAGATCTCTAAGATAAGAAGAAAACAAACCTGATATTTTGAAAGACTCTGTATTTATCATTTTTAGCGGTGGAGACTCCTTAGCTGTTGCTTTTATCTACTGAGAAATTTGGAGGGTGAAAAAGAGAAAAAAAAAAAAAAAAAACATTCACTGAAATCAACAAAACGAAGAAGCTAATGTTATCTCCATTATTAACAAGAAACATAGTAAAATTGTACTAAAATTGTTATAATAATAGTTGTTTTGTAGTAATTCATTACAAGCAATGGAGGTCGGAAGGAACTTGCTTTCCCCACCTCCATCATTCCCTTCAAGAACCCATCTCAGGAATTACCTTCCTTCTTCTTCTTCTGCTTCCACTTCAGGTATTTCATTTTCTGGTTATGGTTATTTTTTTTATTATTTTTATTAGTTTTTAATGTGGCCATTATAGTTGCTGAGAAGCCTTGTGTTGATAGGCTTCTTTTTTTATTTTTTTTTCCGGGTGAAGTTTGTTTTCTCAGGTTATGTATTAAGAGAATTGAGGATATGGGAAGGATGGTTTTTGCAGTTTTAGAACTGGTTTTTTTTTTCTTTATTATTATTATTATTATTATTTTTTTAATATTATCATTGTTGCTATTTGGTTTTAAGTTGAATTTATCCTCCAACTTTTTTGGATGAATTTGGTTTTAATAGTGGGAATGCTATTGGCATGGCTTGGTGTTTGAACATATCGGAACCACAAATTTTGCTCAATCTTAATAACTATTGATTATTTTTGTGTTGTATATGTTTTTGCTATTGTGCTCATCCGTAACATATATAGAAGTGGGAACTGTTATGGAGCAATTGTCTAATATGAGATAATTAAACTTCTTGGTGTTACATTTTTCCGAATATCAGTGTTATGTTGAATAAAAGTCATGTTATACTTCTCACTTCTACATGTTGATGGAGGGTCCTCTAACAATGCCTTACACACACATGTGTGTGTGTATATATGTGCGCGTGCGTATGTAATCCAAATTGTCATGTTTATTAACTTTCTAATGTTGATGTTTCATCAGCAAACGTAGCTACAGGCATAACTTCCATGCCAGCTACTTCAATTGCTCAGCCTTTTTCTACCTCTGTTCTTTTACAAGAGCAGCGTGATGAGTTCAAACCTCTGTTACGTGTAAACAAGGAAGATAAAACATCCCAGGTAAAAGGAAAAATCAATTTTGTTCACTTATCACAAAATTTCCTTATTAGTTCCATTCCTCTGTGTCATTATCTTAAATCTTCTTACTTCTGTCCATTAAAGGGAGTGTTAAACAGAAGGCAGAATGATTCTGGGGCCTTAGTCCATGAAGATACCCTTGAGGACTACAACCAGTTTGTGTGGGAATTTGAGCGCCCATCTGTTCATTGGCCTGGTTTTTGGCATGTGTGAGAAGAAGAATTTTTTCCCTTAACACTTGCACCATAATTTTTCGGCAATAAATCACTTGTATTGTTAAAAAGAGATAGAGCTTATTGGGTTATTCCCTGTTGCAGATTACCATCCTTAAAAACAAAGGTGAAGCTTTCTTCATCTTTGACAATGGAGACTACGATGGGTAGTTGCACAAAGGATGTGGATGTTGAAGTGTCTGATGCAATTGCACTAGCTAAGAAAGCTTTGATGGCATCAAAAGAAGCAGCATCATTAGCTGAAGAGTCCAAATTAGTTGGAACTGATTCGGATGATATGCTTTCTGTGAGGTTAGCTAGCTTTTTCTGCATTGGTTTAATATAATTATGCCGTTCATTAGAGAACATGGTTTTTTGGAATATCAGGCCTAAAACCTGTTATCAGCTTTTTAGGCAAGGGGGACAAAACTGTAAGGTCAACACGACTTCTAGAGAGGCGATCTAAGAGGCGGAAGGTGCCTGAGTCGTCTGTTCTGTTTTATGAGAACCCTAGGAATAGAGCTGCTGACATTCGGAAAAGGTTAAGCGAAGGATTAAATTCAGATGATCCCCTTCGGTTGTTCTTGGCAGGTCCTGAAACAAGACAACTTTTGACTTTTGAAGAAGAGTCTGAATTGATTGCTCAAGTACAGGTGTATATGTGAATCAAAACTTTTCATTATTGGTAAAGGAAGCGTTGGTATCTAAGTGTTTTATGTTATTCTGATAGAAATGATTTAACAGGATTTGATAAAACTAGAACAAGTCAAGGCCAGGCTTCAATCCGAGTTTGGTCGTGAGCCAACTTTGGTCGAGTGGGCAGAAGCAGTTGGGCTTAGTTGTAGGATCTTGCAGTCACAAATTCAATCTGGTACAAGCAGCAGAGAAAAACTGATCTGCGCCAACTTACGCTTGGTGGTTCATATCGCTAAACAATATCAGGGTCGAGGTGTTGGCATTCAAGACTTAATGCAGGTAATGTAAACATATTAGTAGCACTGGCTTCCCATAAGAACAAGTCCGTATAAATAAAAGGACAAACATACCTAGAAAAAGTAGGTGAATATCTTTATAGACTTTTGTGTTTAATTGTGTTATCATGTTGTGACTTAGCCGCTCGATTGACAACTGACAACTTGGGAAAAGATGTGAAATTTGGCTTAGATGTTTTCTTAGTTCGCTATCTCTTGTGAATGTGAGATTATCTGTAATTAGAGACGCTAATATCTTCTGGTTTCTTGTAGGAGGGAAGTATGGGCCTTATGAAGAGTGTCGAGAAATTCAAACCCCAAGTTGGTTGTCGATTTGCTTCTTATGCATATTGGTGGATAAGGCAAACGGTTAGGAAGGCCATATTTCAACATTCCCGGACTATTCGTTTACCAGTAATGGACAAACTTATAATCTACCTTTCTTATTTCAATCCGAATTATGATTCAGTGTCTTTACTTATATAACCCTCTAAAATTTTGTTGTAATATATTTAAGGGAAGAACTTTATTATCTGAGACAGAAAACCAACAAATTATCTGCAGGAGAACGTGTATACTCTGCTTGGCAAGGTATTGGAAGCGAAAAGATCATCCATTCAGGAAGGAAATCACAATCCGTCGAAAGAAGATCTAGCAACACGTGTTGGAATCACAGTTGAAAAGTTGAATAAGTTGCTATATATGACAAGAATTCCACTTTCAATGCAACAACCTGTGTGGGCAGACCAAAGCACCACTTTCCAGGTAATGAGAACACTAGTTCATTTCTGCCATGATTTGCATATGATATAAGCTTCTCTGTGATGATAATAGATGACAAAGGCTTACACAGAAACATTTTCACCATTTAAATTCCTTTTTCAAACTCTAGTTTCTCAAGGAATTGTAATTGCAGGAAGTAACTGCAGACACGAGGATTGAGATCCCAGATGTGAGTGTGGCGAAGCAGATGATGAGGCAGCATGTGCGCGGTCTCTTAAGATCTCTCAACGTTCGAGAGCGGCAGATAATCAGGCTAAGATTCGGCATTGAAGATGGCAATCAGAAATCGTTATCGGAAATTGGTAGAATGTATGGACTGTCCAAGGAGAGGGTGCGGCAGCTGGAGAGCCGAGCGCTCTACAAGTTGAAGCAGTGCCTCGGAAGCCAGGATCTTGAGGCATATGCTGATTTAATAGTTTGAGTTGTAAATTGGAAGTCAGTTGCCAATCATCCAAGCTTTTGGAGGTGAAATATGTACAGCAAATTGTGGCTTCAAACTAGGAGAGGGATCCAAAATGAGCATATTCTTTTTCTTCGGTCTTAAAACTCTTGCTTACCTTACAGCTTATTTTAAACGCTTCAAATGTATGATTTTAGTCATTTTGTGTAATTGAAAAGGTGAATATTCTGTTTCTTAATGTATATTTTGCAACTTTTTTGTCTCAAGCTATCATTTCTTTCCCAAGTGGACACTTGATACTGATGATCTCTAAGATTTTGAGTTCATAATATGCTCTCAGAGACGCAACACAAGCTTTGGATGTGTTAGGTGGCCGGTACATTGCAATGGACACCGATAAGTAGGAAACCGATGACTTGGGACATTCTCTTCTTTTCAATAGTTTAAGCTTGTAGTAAAGTATCAACAATTATTGGGAAAAAAAAACGATGGCCTCAACGATAAATTGAATTTCACCACCAGGAATCACCGGACAGATAATCAATCCCTTTTCTATGTAATGACAAGGAGAAATTGGAAATGAATTCATTAAGTGACGACACTTTAAAGCTATGACTTGTCCGAATGAAGGCTGCTCACAAGCGAAGTGTATACTCTGTCATCAGGTGTAAAACCTGCTTTTATCATCTCATCATACAATCTAAAGGCTTCATCTGTTCTACCCTCCTTAGACAAACCCGCAATCATCGCCGTGTAAGTGACGACATTCCGAGTTAAACCCCTCCGGGACATTTCATTAAACAATTTCAGCGCCTCATCTAACTTCCCGGCAATACATTCTCCGTGGATAAGCGTAGTAAAGGTATACGAGTCCGGCGTCATCCCATTTGCTTCCATCTTTCCTTTTAGCTCATGAGCTTCCTTCATCTTTCCTTTCTTGCTATACCCATCAATGAGTGCATTATATGTAACAACATTAGGCTTCTCTCCCTTCCTCTCCATCTCCTCAAACAAGCGCTTTGCCTCGGCAAAGTTCCCTTCCTTGCAATATACATCAATCAAAGTAGTGAAGCTCACAACATTCGGTGACACACCCCTCTCTGCCATCGCAAACAACAACCTCTTCGCTTCCTCATACCGGTGTCGCTTACACAATCCGCTAGCAACAGTATTGTAACAAAAAATATCAATCTCTAAACCTCTCTTTTCCATCACAACCTTCAGCTTCATAGCTTCATCAATCATCCCCTTTCTACAATACCCGTCCATCAGCGTGTTATACACCACCTGATTCGCCTCCATGCCTTTGCTCCGCATCTCACTCACTAAAATCTCTGCGGCCTCCATCTTCCCTGCCTTGCACAACCCGTTAACCAAAGCCCCGTAAGTATGCACACTCGGAACAAGGCCTCTATCGGTCAACTCATCGAACATCGAGAGCGCCCGCTTCAACTCCCCTAATCTACAACACCACTTAATCATCGTCGTATACACATACATATCGGCCTCTATCCCTCTCCCACGCATTTCATCAAACACCTTCACTGCCTCCCCAATCTCCCCACAACTACCAAACCACTCAATCAAAAGTGTAAATGTCACAGTATTGAAACAAACTTTTTCTTTCTCCATCAATCTCAAAACCTCATTAACACCCCCAAAATCCTTCCTTTCAACGTACCCAGAAATAAGTGTATTATAAGTGTAAACATTGGGCATAACTTTATTTAAACAAGTCATTTCAACAACCAAGTTTTTTGCCCTTTCAGTCTCTCCATCTTTACACAACCCATCAACCACAATCGTCAAAGAATAAACCGTAATCTCAATTGCTTTCTTCACCATCCGATCGAAAAACCCTAAACACAAATCCATTTTCCGGGATTTCTTCAGACCAATCAAAAGCGAAAAACAGGATCTTTCCTCAATCTCAAACCCATTTTTATCAGCGTAATCGAAAACCCCAAAAGCCTCCTCGAACATCCCAATGCTCACGTAAGCCCTAAATATCATATCACAGAATTTCTCCACAAATTTACAAACTTTTCCTTCTTTTTCACTCTTTTTCTCGATCAAATCGACAATGTCCGAAACCGGGCGGCGGAGATTCTCATCCGCGGCGATGAAATTCACCACGTTTTTCATGTGGGCAAGTTGCCGAACCTCGTAAAGTCTGCGAGCAATAGCGAGATGGGCTAAAAGATCAGGTTTGTGGGATTGTGTCGTTCGGAGAAAGTTGAAGAAGGACAAGCAATAGCGGGGCCTGACGCGGGGGTCGGAGAGTACGAGGTGGGTGGCGCGAGAATCGAGGTCGGAGAGGAGAGATTGGTGGTCGATTCCATTGCTGAGAGCCGTGGAGGTCTTCCATGCGGTTTCATTCTTCGCAGGAAAGGCTTTCTTCAGCGATTTGAAGACGTTCTGAGACGACGACGACATTGATATCGTCCAAGTCTAACGAGAAGAGCTATTGTCCTTGAAGACCCAAGTGGCCGAGAAGTGACGTGGGCAGTTGAAGAAGAATTATCTCATTCCCTTTGCTGGCATTTTCCATTTCCCCATTTCCATCATTGTTGCTGGAGCCGAAAGTTTAGAAGAGGTTTGGTCGATCTGTTCGGAATCATGATTTAGAATGATTTTGAGTTTACGTGTGTTTTTTATGAGAAAAAATATTATAACGAACTAAAAATTATGATCTAAATTATATTATGAATCCTTACTCCAAACGCAGTATTAGGCTGCCCTAGCTTGGTCGGGTCAAGCCTAAAAATGAGAAGGTCAGTTGAGTCTGGTCTTAAAATGTAACGCGACTGACCTGGACTTTATAGCATTTTGGTCAGATCCGACCCAGCCTGAAAATAGTTTAGGACTTAAATATCCATCGAGCCCGGGTCAATAATGACAAGCTTAAGATCGGCTCATTTAACCCGACCTAAATTTACAACTCTAATTTTACTAATTTTGCGTGTAATACTGTAGATGAAAGGTTGTTTAGTTGGAGGATTCGTACCCCGATTCGAATCATGATTCATGGTTCACTACAGTGTTTTCTCTCATAAAAAATACACGTAAATTGAAAATAGTTCTAATCTTATGATTCTAATCCATGAACCAAACGTCTAATAAGAATAAAAAAATTCCACAAGTATTAGCCCCAAAAGCACAAAACCTAAAACCAATGTCATAAATTCATTCATCCAAGCTCACATAGATGATTTAACATGTGTAGCTTCAAACAACGTTTATGATCTACTAGTCGTTTCATCCTGGTCCTTTTTCTCATTTGCTGTCGTGTCGTTTTAATGCTTTCTTCAAAATTCAGCGAAGACATCAATTTGTCGTTTTCTTCATCTTCGTCGTTTTCTAATTTTCTGTCGTTTTTCTTTCAATTGTCGTTTCTCGTTACTTCTACTTCATTGGCGGTGGTTTCGTTCTCTTCAATCCTCATCAACATCTATTTGAAGAATATAGTCAAACTACATTGCTAAGGAAACTCATGAAAAAAATTCCTCATCACAATGAAGACAATAGTCCAATTGGCTAAGGTACTATTACTAGCATTTCAAGCTTTAATTGCCCAGAAGTTTTTCTTTTGTTTTTTTGTTTTTTTTTGGCCAACCCAAGTTGCAAATCTGAAGATTCTAAGTCAACATAATAGGTATCTGTTCTTTTTATCTCCATACTTGAAATCCATACAAGGTTTCCATATGGGCACTAATACTTTTATTTACTTGTTCTTATAATTTAATTAGTATACCCTAATAAACTAGAATGTTCACATTGTACAAATTATTAGAATCATCATCATATTATTTTGGCTTAAAAGGACTAGAACTTATGATCTTGTATGAACAGCTATAATCTTGTTTATGTTCAGAATGTATTTATTTCTATTTGCTTTTCTGTAAAAACTTTGTCGCGTGTTCTATTCTCTATGGTTTTCTTGAGCGACATGTCGTTTTTATCTCATATAAGGAACGACATGTGTGAACTTATAAAAGAAGGGTTCTGAGAAGAGAAGTGGGTAATCTTCGAAAATGAGAGCCTCGCGAGACTCTGTCTGGTGTTTGTTTTCTTCCTTACCTGCCATATTATTCTCTGGTCCTTAAGGACAGCTAACATGTGGTTTTGTTTCCAAAAACGACAGTCCGTTTATGTGAAATGTGAAAAGGAGTGTAACTTGTGGTTTGGAGTTAAACGACATCTTGTGTTTATGTTCATGAAAAGGATATGTCGTGCCTGTTTATTGTATGGTACAACAACATGTCGTTTCGAAGAATATGTTCTCTTCTCTAATAGCAATAATTTACTTGAACAACATGTCCTTTTTTGTAGTCTAATAATGATTGATCGTATATGAAATGGTTATGCACAAAATGTGAAAGGTATTTTGTATTAAACGACACCTCGTATTTAGTACAGAATTTGTGTTTGTTTTTACGTAGAACAATATCTGTCATTGTAAAGAACATGTTCTATTCTCCATGATTTACTCGAAAGACTTTGTCGTTTTTGTCATCAGATATAACGACATGTCTTATGAGCCTACGACGTGTTTAAGAAATGGCATGTATTTCCCTCATTCCTATCTCCTTTGGGGGGTTTTTTTTTTTTTTTTTTTTTTTTTTTTTTTTTTTTTTTTATAAGAGGAAAACAAATGAGAAAGAAAAGAAATATATGATCTAGGTGAGAAAGGAAATTACGTTTTTTTTTTCTTTTTTAAATTCAGTTTAATATGAACTTCTTCTCTTAAATCGCTTCATCATGAAAGAAATCGGAACTGAGATTTTTTTTGAAGTATTTAAAATCCCTTATTCTATCTATCTCATACTCCTTTTTTTTTTTCCCTACCAAAGCATAACGAGTTTTAAACCAACATAGCATTCACTAGACGACATTATTCTTCTTTTTTAATTTATAAACATCGTTTGCTCTAAGAAGATGTTATTCTTTCTATCAAATAAAGGAAATCGTTTGACATTAAAGGATATGATTAATTACGAAAATTCTTCCAAACTATGATCCGTATAACACTTTATCTTTTGATGTTTAAAATGTAACATTTATTTCTCTTGTAGTTTGAAACGTTATAAAATAAAAAAAATCTCCCTTCTGTTAAAATTTTTAACAGAAAAAATATGTATTACTCAAATGATGGTTGTTGTTAAACAATTTAATGTATAATTACTCTTCTATCCATCTTTCTTAAATTGCATTTTTAAAATAAATTTTCATTTTCATTTAATATGATAAAAAATAAGATAAAAGAAAATCAGATAGTTATATCTTCCTAAAAGAAATAAGGAGAAACCCAGATTCTCAAACTTAGGTATCGTTCGCTTTGTAGATTCGAGTTTTCAATTCGAGCTAAGATGTGTAGTAGAAAAAATTAAACGTGATATTTTCTGAGAGTTTTTAACTGTAGAAACTTAGAACTGAAAATTCAAATTAAGCATCCACCCCCTCGCGGCCCCAAGCCCCAGTTGCAACCATCCTGATTCCTGACTCCGTCGCATTAAGCATCCACCCCCCGACTTAAATCTGGTCCTTGAAGTTTTCGTAGACCGATCTCCATCGTCCTCACATAATAAATTTGCAAGACACTCTTATTCAAAATCTTCAAATTTGAAGACCAGAGATACTTCAAGATCTTCTCCTACCTGATTATGTACAAGCGGCTTTGGGTCATTTTCACAATTTACAAGTTGATCAACAACATATACCCCTAGCCTCTTGGTTTAGACTTTGGAGGTAATAACAAGCCAAATGGAAGTACGCCCACCAATTAAAAAACTCACCAATGGTTTAGACTTTGGAGGTAATAACAAGACAAGATCTGGCGCCAAATACATATTTGCGACAATATGTGAGTTTTTAATGACGACAATATTTTTTTTCAGTTTTATGAAAATATTTACGACGACATGTCACCGTAAATATTCACTTATTTACGACGACAGTTGTCATCGTAAATATTTTCGCCGCAAATAGCCCAAATTGTAGTAGTGAGATTGCTTCCAAGTTTATGTTATTGGCAACTTGCCCAGTTGTGGACACTACAGATTTGGAAGCTGAGCAAGGGAAAGTATAAAATGTAGTGGGAGTGATGAGCCAGAGAACAAAAGAGAGAGAAGTTGAATTCAATTAAGGTTTTTTTTTTTTTTTTTCCTCATCAGTATGTTTTTATTGGCTTATTAGTACAAAATGTATTCTAACAAAAACAGTTTTAGATTAACATTATGGTTTAACTCAAATTAAATTTTCTATACACATAATTACCAAAATACCCCAAATAAATTGCATGAACTAACTTTTTGTTAAAAATTCTAACGGAAGGGGGTTTCTTTGATAACGTTTTAAATTTCAAGAGGAATAGATGCTACATTTTAAACATCAAAAAGCAAAGTGTTATACATGTCATAATTCGGGAGAAAATTTTATAATTAATCCTAAAGGATATGCAAGACCGTTCCACTAAAAACGACATCATGTTATCTTGTCATTGTGCTCATCACCAAGCATTCCTGTTTCCTTTGTCTAATTCGTACATTGCTATATTGACCAACTATAGCGAAATCAAATCAGAAAAAAGGGGCTTTAAAAAGTTCGTCACATGTCCATCAATTCTTGATTCCATTTTTCTTACATAGTGTACAACATAGAGATCCAAACCTAGCTATATATCTAAGCCCAAATATATACAACAAATAACAAACCTTTCAATAGGTCCAATCGACGATGAACCCACAAAACATATATAGCTGGGTACCACTACCAAATTTCATCACTTAAATGTTTTGTGGCCGTGAAAAATTATTAAGAAAAAAACCAAAAATAAATTATTATTTATATTATTTCACTAAAAAATAAACAATTATCATTTCGTTAATAAAGAGAAAATTGAAAGTTAAAATAAAACTCAATTATTAGAACGACGTAATAGACAGATACAAAATATAACTACTACGTACTTTTCTCCACCCTCGTTTTTCTATTTTTTATTAACTACACCAACTAGACAGAAGAAATTGCCAGTTGGGATCACCCCTTTTCTTTTCTTTTTTTTTTTTTTTTAAATCAGTTACAATTATTCTTCACACTCTTTTCTTTTCATTTTATTTTATTTTATTTTTTCTTTAAGAAATAACATCTTTTACCTTTTTCGAATAAGAAAAAACGGTTTTAACGTTCATAATGTATATTATACAGTCATTTGTTACTTCTAAAAGACAAAAATGCTTATCTAATGCATGACACCAACTTCCATATTGTGAAGCTTGGAAGCTCACAAACATCAAACTATATATGAAGCAACAACACATTGTTACACATATATAGTTATAATAAGTAGATCACTTAGTCGTCACATTTAACCTAAGTAACAAATATTAAGTGGTCTTAACTAAATTGTCTTATAAACTTTAATTTCACTCTGTAAGGAATCATCTCTGTTGAGTTGAGGAAAATGTGTGGTCTATAAGGCATTTGGTACATATATGATTTTGCCAAGCTCTAATATGGCAGATTCAGTTTTGAATCATTACAAATGATATTGGCTGATGGGCGATAAGAAATGCATTTACGTGTTAGATTTATATATGTATATGATGGAAGATGGAGACCCATCAGATCCATAAAAATATTTACCTCTGCAAATACCATTTCAAATGCTTGGCTCAAACTGTTGCTTAGCACATGGCAGGCCCCATTGTTTTTGTGGGTGTGTTTTTTTTTTTTTTTTTTTTTTTTTTTTTTTTTTTTCAGATTCCAAACAATCTAGAAGATCACCAATGTACATAACAACTTAATAAAAAAATAAACTGAATCCTAGAAAAACCTTGCTTATTTTTTTTTACGCCAAAGGATTAGTTAAATATCCCAATAGCATATATAGTAGTACTGGCAAGGACACTTTCACCATAATTCTTATGTCATGCACTGCTTATCTAAAGCTATACATGTCTACTAATATAACTTCTTAATTTAATCCATCAAAAAAATTAAGACCAATAGATATATACCCTTCATATCAATTTCATAGAAAGTGACAATTGACCCTTTTTTTTTCCCTGTGGCATTTGCAGGAAGCTGAGTAGTCAGAAATTGCATGCCAATATAGTTGACCAAAGAAAATATACATATATAATTTATATTGTGGTTCAGTCATTTTCACCATACCCTATATTGTTGGGCACTCGTGTGGAGCATCAGATGACTAGTATTTTAGTATACCACAAACAGTTACTCCCGTTCACTTCGTTGATTCGAGTTTAGAATTCGAGTTGAGATGTGACTTTATGTGAGAGCTTTTTACTGTAGCAAAAAAGTTAGATATGATTGTTTGTGAGAGCTTTTTACTGTAGAAAAACTCGAATTCTAAACTCGAATCAGCGAAGTGAACGGGGCCTCAGATTTATTTTTTCTTTCTCCTTTTGAAATTAGCTAGTGGGGCAATTCTTATGAGATATATTTAAGAATTGTCTTAAATCCGGCACCTAGACCACCAGTTAAACATGTATAACTTTTTTTGTATGCTCGTGTAGCATCATTCATACGTGTGTGTAATATTCAGAACATTCAAAAAAATATAACCCAACATTTGTAACAATATTAAATGGTACACTTAAGCATATAATTGAACATTACAAACATTTACAATTTATGGTATACAGTAACACGAAAAAAGTTGCGTTTTTTTATTGGAATATGAAGAAAATTACGTTTGCCGGACTGTACAGGTGTAACAAGTTTATATGTCACACAGTATTTCAGGTAAAAGTGGCAGAAACATTGATCCATTCTATGTTTCATATGCTGTCTTAACCTTCCTGACAGCTGGTGGGTTGCAGTGTTTTCAGTCCATACCTAATCTCCAGAGGATCCAACCCAAATTTTGCATACTACACATATATCAGAGTCCATAGTCCATTCTGATCTCTTTTATATTGTTTTTGGTACAAAAAAGAAAAAAAAAAAAGAAAAAAAGAAGTTACTGATAGAGAATATTTGAAAAGATAAATGTATGATTGGTGATTCGTGTCGTTAGTTTACCAATTCTCGAAGAAACTTAAGCTGTTATAGGAAGCAGACAATAGTAGTTTTATATTTTTTTTATCTTACTTATACGGTGCCGGGAGAAAAATTCCCGATACCTTGTCAAGAAATACAACAATTTGTAAATTTTATGTTTAAAGTTGTAAATTTTAAACGTTAGAGTTATATAAATTACGAAGATTTGTGAATTTTAAAACTAGGAACGATAACTTGTGAATTTTATGTTAAAGTTTACAAATTCGAACGAGAAAATTATAAAAGTTATAAATTTATAAACCAACACGGTGCCGTGAAGGTACATAGAAGGACCTTAGAATCATAATGAAAAAAGAAAAATAGTATAAGTACTATCAAGAAAAGCAAGGACGGGAATGCAATATTGACTAGATAAAAAATGGTCCTGGCGAGTATTGTTAGAGATAATTGATGAAGATGTAACAATGTAAAATTATGCAACAATAACAAGATGTTTCTGTGCCTTATTGCCACAAAGAAATATTTCTACTTTTAAAAGCATTAGAGATTTGTATACTAAATTTTATGTGATTTTGACGTCCATAAACTTGCATTACCAGTAAGTATTCCTTATCGATCCTGCTGACCCCACGAAAAATAAATAAACAAATAAAGTGAAAAGCAGAAAAAAAAAATCTATATATATGCGCTATATAAATACAGCAGGCTCTCCAAACAACTACCCCCACTCTCATCACATTTACTGCTTCTAGAGAGAGCAGATCCCCATCAGTGTGGTAGTACTGCAGGCAAAGCCAGAGGCCATATTAGTGTGTGTGTATATATATATATACACATATATATATATATATATACCTATATTCATCACACACACACACACATATATATATATCATATTCATGGCAGCAAGGAAGGAAAACAACACAAGCAATATCAATAGTAGCAGTTATCATCATCAACATCACAATCAACATCATCATCATCATCATCAGGAAGGGTACTGTGAGCCCTGCAGATCATTTGGCCAAAAGTGCAGCCATCTGGTGAAGAAACAGCGGGCCAAGTTCTACATCCTCAGGCGCTGTATTGCCATGCTTGTTTGCTGGCGTGACCGTGGTGACCCCTGAGAGATAGAGACACTAGTATACTATATATATATATAGCATCTCAATATATTATCATCGATCATTTTTCTCTCTACTACCATTGTGTTATTAATATTGTTCTTAATCTCTTTTTCCATTATTTATGTTGAGATTATAAATGAGTACGTATATGATATATTTATAGAGGAGTGTAACTAAATAACTGAATTTTTTTTTTTTTTTGGGTATCTTATTAGAGTTTTTTGGGTATGTTATTAGAGTACTTGTTTAGCTAGAATACGCCCTTTTGCCATTTGATGTAAAATGATCATTATTTCGTATAAAATATTTAGCTGTGGATTTAGCTTTTGAAGTTTATAGTCTATAGTATATTGTAGCTGCTAGATCTGTATTCAGGTGGATCTGGCGTTTGATTGATTTTGAGATTCTCCATTTCATACAACAAACAAATTAACAAAAGTGGGTTCATTTTTTTTTTCTTCTCTTTTTTCTTTTTTCAACCCTTTTTTGTGATTTTCTTATCTTTTCCTTTTCTCTCCTATTCTTGACAAGCTGAAACTTCACTGATGCTACACTCACATTCTCGTACAATTTGGCCTCTTCTGATATATTGTAGCTTTCATGCTTTCTTGATACTCTACCTTTTTCTTTTTCTTTTTTCTTATATATATAATTTCTCTACTCTCTTTTTTCTTCTTCTTCTCTCTCTCTCTTTCTGATTGTTTCAGAATTTTTTTACTGCAGTTATGAGATAATAGTGTTAATGATTCGTCTTAATCCTTCATAGATAGATATAACCGTATTGTCCATATCTATTCCTAATATATACTCATTGTTAAATTGGTTTTCTCATTGTTGTTGATAAAAAAACTAAAAGTCATGATAAGTACTACATCACCATCAAAATATATAGCTGTCTTGTTGAACACTCCTACTTGATGGTTTACTACTCTATCTGTTGTTACAATAGTTAACACGTACACTAGCCTGCAATATGAACAGAAAATACATGTGAAAATAAGTGGTAGAGAGAGAAGTAAATAATAAGAGTTTAGTATCCAGAATCTCATGCCATAATATCTAATAATGGATAAACAATATTGCCAAATATTATATATATTCTAGAATATATATAGTTAAAAAAAGTAGTTAAATATTCTATGTGGAGTATTATATATATATACTTATATGTGTGCATATATATATATATATATATATATATATAGAGAGAGAGAGAGAGAGAGAGAAGAGATCAACAAAGTGGCAATAAATAATTATAATGACAAACACGAAGTCATATAGTGTTAATAAATGCATTTCTTATCATGCTTTCATGCAGGCCCCGAATCCCATATGCGATTTTGGTCAATATGGATAATCAAATTACTAGGGGCCTTATGTTAAGGGAACACCAGACATGAGCAAAGCACCCATCTTAGAATCATATATATATATTTTCTATTATACTTACTCTCTCTAGTTTTTTTTAGTTTTTAGTTTTTTTTTTTTTTTTTTTTTTTTTTTTTTTTTTTTTTTCTTATGGTCTTGTGTCCTCAAAACCCACCATTGTTTCCTCTAATGTTCCTCCACATGCAACAACTATTTATGGTCCATAATGAGATAATTTGGTGGCTCAACTAAAAATATATACCTATAAAGAAGATTAATTAGTACCAATATTCTTGTGGAAATTCAAATATTCCTACATGAGCAATTGCTTTTTGTACTAAATAGAATAATTAATCTTTTTATTCCTTTGCACCAAATGGACATGATAACGAAGAGTGGATAAAAAATCACATGGCTTGCAGGGTATATGTAATACTATATATATATATATATATATGTGTGTGTGTGTGTGTGTGTGTGTCTAAGCATTATAGCTTTATTTTCAATGTAAAGAAGTGATTGCAACGACAGAGATAGCACATGCGGTACTGTGTTATCAGTCAAATGATGCTTTTTTAAAGTTTCAATAATCCATGTGGTGTTGTTACTACGTGCGGTAAGATTTTAAGGTCGAATAGTTTGATATATGTGTTAACATGTTGAATGTATAAAAGTCTTGGTCAAGAAATTAATAATTAATTTTAACATCTTCCCATAAGCTAATTAAGCACACAAGTACTTGAATTAAAATACTAGTATTTAGCCAAGTGAGAGAAACTAATATGTACTAATTAAATATTAACTTGATTAATAATTCTGAGTGGAATTTCATTAATTGGGAATGATGACAAATCTTCCTTTCTCTGTACGACTGAATATCCAGTCACACTCGTGCACGCTCATTATATACTATCGAAATTCAAAAGTTAATGAACTTCATTTTGACTATATATCAGTACCAAAGAAAAATAGCAAACAAACAAATTAACAGTAGAAGATATGTGTACATAAGATAAGGTTCATATTACCTAGCCAAGGTAACCTCTGACTGTGGTTCTGGTGTAGAGGAAGGGGACCAAAGTAAAGCATTTTCTATGCAACTTGCAAAACTCTAATAATAATATACCAATTCGTTTCGCTAGTTCGAATCACAACTCAAATCTTTGTTACAGTGTTTTCTCTCATAAAAATTCAAATTTAACTTTTTCTACGACAGTATTTTCTCCCACATAAATTCACTTTTTAACTTAAGTTCTTAATTCGAATGAGCGAAACGAATAGTAGACTCCCCTTTCACTACTTCAAAGTAAACATGTTTCTAGCATTAATGTGGGAATATATAAATGACGGTCTAATGGCGTGAGGAGGGGGATTGAGGAGCGTTTTGGGTGGGGTTCCGATCTATATGTAATCTTTAATTCTTATTTACAAGGTGATACATGATATAAAAAAAAAATGATTTGTGTACAAACTGAAGAAAAAGATGCCTTATAATATGCCTTGCTTAGTTTTGAACCCTTCTCTTCCCCCATCTTTAAGCCATATTTCCAAAACAATTAGTCGGATTACAATGATGTCATGAAACAAAGAAGAAATTTCATCCGTATATAAGTACAAATATATTAACACATAGAAGCTAGCTAGGTAGTTTTATGAACCAAACTTACGTTTAAGTAATAAAACACTGCCTTCTAGCAAAAAAGCTTAAAGCTTGTTTGTTTTTTATACACAAACTCAAAGTATTGATTATGCTACAATGTTTTCTTCACACAAAAAATTTGAATTTCAAACACAGAATAATAAAAATCATAATTTGAGTATGCCTTTAAATATTATATGAAAATGAAAACAAGAACCGAGTGGAGAGAAGGTAACTAGCATATATAATTACAAGCGTATAAGGTTATTGAATTATAGTTATTATATATGAGAGGTGTATATAGTAGTGAAGGATATATAAATATATATATATATATGTAGATATAGGGATATGCGTTAAGGGACGTGGATATTGGTTAGAACTACAGCTTATTATGTCAGCCGACAACGAGAATCCTTGATAGGAAAGTGAGATGGGGTACGCCCCTTTGCCCCTGCACCCCCTCTGCACCTCTCTCTCTCTCTCTCTCTCTCTCTCTCTCTCTCTCTCTCTCTCTCTCTCTCTCTCTCTCTACAGTATAGCATGCATTAGTCTCAGTGCCCTCTTGGCCCCTCGTGCGCGGCCCTCACTTTCTCTTTATACATGCCTCCGCTGACCCCACTCATTTACTATATATAACCTTTCTTGGATGATATTCTAAACTCGTATGGTAAAGAATAATTATTCGTAGTAGTACACAGTTTTTGAACGTCAAATTATAAGAATTACATGATTCGAAATCATAAATTACCGTTATTAATAAGTTATGAGTAGGATAAATTATTTTGCACAATATTGCAGAGAGTAACATACTTAAATAACTTTGAAAAATTAAATAAGTACTTCTAGCATATTATCGAACTAATTACTTGAACTTAAGATGAGAGAATGAACTAACTTTGGTTATTGAATAATTCTCTTGTATATTGGTTAGTATTGGTGGCTCATGACCAAACTTAGGAATGCTCGTATAGTCAGCTATATTTTTCAGTATGTAGCTTCACTATTGACATGTTTGAAGACCTAAAGTACTACTATGATCTATATATAGATAACTCGAGATCTAAGAGTACTCTTTTCCATTAGTACACAATCTTTCAACATTTTGTTGGAAATTTGGTGTATGGAGAGACTTAAACTATGTATGCGATACATTTTTCTTAAAGCGTAATAATTTATTTTAAGCAGTATTCTCTCTACGCACCACGTGTCATGTTTGCGTAAGCGCTAAATGCCAAGTACGCCTTTACAGCCTCACTACTCACGCAGTGCGCGCGAGCCACAAACGTGTATTCCTTAATACTTTCAAAAGCCCTAAACCCTTTCTAGGACAATGGAATAATATACTTTTTTCCTTTATACTTCAACAACTCATTTACCGCCAATTAAATATTGGCTTACTATAGACTATAGTATGAATCTATATGTTTTGTTTTTCACCTTCAAAGAAATTAACCATACAAAGAATCCGCAACTTTCAAATGATGGGATGGCAAAAGTGTGTGGACATAAAGTCAAGAACAATATTGGTAAAGTGTAGGACCAAGTCGGAGGGCCAACACGTGCAAAACTGACAAGGTTGAAATATAGGCTTTTATAGCGTTAGATGTTTGTGGCCAAAAGGGTCATGATTTCTTTGCCTATACGACTACCAACTATTCCTGACCTTCCACGTCAAGACGCACGTGTTCTTTGCAAAAGAACACAGAAAAGGGTACGTAGAACTGATCATTTAAAAATATTGATCATCAAAGAGCTATAGCTGCCATAGCTAAAGCCTGAAAATAGCAGCCGCCCAGGAACCTTAAAAATGTCTCTCGCCCACAGCTAGGGTTAATTTGCCTATACATATACATGTATATATATATGTGTGTGTGTCTATATATATATATATATATATATATATATATATTTCTGTCATTCTTTTTCAGGTTTATCTTCTTCAACACCAGTTGTCAGTCATCATGTCTCATATCACACAGAAACGTTTCATTAGGGAAATGGGGTATCAAAGGGAAAGGGATATTTGCATGATCATCAGAGCAGAGAGTAAAACCAGCCAAAACTGAAAAA